GCAATAACTATACCTCCACTAACAATAAAACAGTATTCAATAATAATAGTGTAGAGTTAACTATCTAAGGATTTATAAAGCTTGATGTTTATACTCGTAAGGATGAAGCGGGTAGGAGAATTACTGGAAAATTTAAAAAGTAGAATTTGAAAAATCAATCAATGAAACATGAGGAGGAGAAAAGTAAGATAAAGTATCCTATTAAGTAAAAGGAAATTAATAGTATTAGGTAAAAGTAACAAAAGAGAAGAATAAGAAAAAAGAGTAAAATGAAAGAAAAATAAGTGGGAAAAACAAAAAATTTAAAGAAACAAATTTAAAAAATGAAAAGACACAACCTTCAAATACTAATGAAAGAAAAAAAAATTGAGTCTAAAAGAAAAAAAAAATCCTCTGTCTTTTTGAATGAATGGATTTTTCCAGGGTCTGCAGTCTTAGAATCCAGCAAGTCATAGGAAGTCCTGACTTTCTTTACTTAGCTTTACAGTCAGTGGGTTTATGAAGTTCCCACCTCCCTCTATAGAGGGCCTTCTGTCCTATACCCCAGACTGTGGCAACTGTCCAAGCCCAGATGTGTCTTTGCTCACTTGGTAGATGGGGAAAGCAATCAGACTGCCTCTCTCTGCTGGATGTTAGTAATGGGCTTGGGCTTCAAGTAGACTGATGGTCTTAATGCCAGTATTTTTAGTTCCCACCACCTCTGAAAGCCACACTTGCAAGGCATGTTTTCTTACCATGGAGGCCAGGGCTGTGTCCTTCCATCACTGAGATTAAACTTCTCGGGGGGTTCTGTTCCCATCCTGAACCCTCTTTGCAGTTGTCTCTCACCCAGTCACTGAGAGAAGGTAATACTGGAAGCCCCAAAGCAAAGTTGTTCTGTAGTTTTTCTCTGGCTCAATCTTAAACAGTTAACCCTTTCCCAAAATGGTATCTGACAATGTCAGGTACTGCACTTGGTTTCTTCTCCAGCTTCAGTCTGCCATGAAGGAGTCATTTTCAGGATAAAACCTCGCTCTGTTTTTATAGTTTACAATAACCATGGGCTTTTATTGGGGTTAGTATTCCTGATCAGGTGCATTATTTTTCCCTGCCATTGCTGACTCTCCAGGGCTTGTCTTCTCTCCACAGTAAGGTCAGCTGGTTGGCTAGCACCTCTGCTGCCCCATGTGAGGGGAAACAAAATACAGAATAGGCTTGGAGTTCGTGGATGGCTGTGGTCAGTGTGTGGAATTCACAGGTGTGAATTCACTCTTTACAGCAGGTTGTCATTTGATTATTGATTTTATTTTTACTGTGTTATGCCAGTGTATACCATTACTATTGATTAAATAATTCGTTGTTTAGCTATTTAATTGAAAGAACACATTTAAAATATATTAAATCCCTGTAGAAGTTTATTCTCTGAATTATTTGATAAATTTTGTTCCTATTTTGATTATGTAACTTTGCAGTAAGTTTCAGTATCTATTTTGTGTAATCATTTTTCTAGAATTATTCCATGCTGAATTTTTCCAGGAGGAATTTTTTTAAAAGAAAAAAAAATAATGTCAGAGACTATTCTCATGGCAAACAGAAAGTGAAATAGACATCAGACTTGTTTTACCTCATGTGTGAGATGTCCCGGAAGAATATTAATTTTATTCTGCACATCTCTATGTCAGGACTGTGGCCATCAAGAGACCAAGAAGCCCACCAGCCCAGGAGTTCAAAGTGTGGAAATTGATGTGTTCTCTGAAGATTTTTCTTTGACCACACAGAATCCCCAGAAGGTAATTTTCCTTGGGTATTGTCAGAAAGCATATGTGACTCATCCACACACCTCCAAAATAGCCATTATGGAAGAGTATCAGAATTAATGCAGAGGTAGTTGCCAGAGCTGAGTCTTAAGAGGAGTGTAGGCCACACTGTCTTAGCTTTGCTGCTATGACGTCTGAGGCAAGATAATTTGTTTTGGTGGGCTTTTCCTTGTGAATTGTAGGATGTTTAGCTGTGTCCTTGTCCTCTAGATTTCAGTCATATCCTCAAGTTTTGATGATTAAAATGACTCTAGACTTTGCAGAATGTCTTTTACAGAGCAAAATCAATGAGAACTCTCCTAAGCCTATTAATCTATGAGCTGCGGTAGGTAAAAATCACACTCTCAGCCTTCTCATTACCTGGTTTCCCCAACTGAAGTGAAGCAGCCTGTCAAAGTTATGATTTGCGGAGAGGAAAAGGCTGAGTACTTGTCTCTGTGTGCTTTATCACCCCTCAGCCTTGGAGAGTAGTTACAGTCCTCTCCTGAGGTCAAACAGATCAGAACACTTAGAAAGAGACCCAAAAGGAAGGGTGCTTGCTTTATACCCTTGATACCTAGAAGCTTTTGCCTATTTGGTTTCGTCTCTTAACAAATCAGACAGTAAGGAACCAGATACTACAGGGGTGAGACAGGGTATTGGCAACTGACTCTCCTTTCCTATATTACGATCTGCAGAAGTCCGATGCAATCAGTGTGTTATCAGAATGTAGCACTATTGATCTGCAGGATCCTGTTGGAAATTTATATAAAATGGTCCACCCCTCAAAGCAACCAGAGAGATGTTTGCCGAAAGGTAAGTGACCATATTCTGGCATACAGTTCAACAAGTCTGAATGGGAATCTTCTTTGTAGCTTTGTGGTTTGGGTAGATTCCTTCTTTGTTAGGGACAAAAGGAATGCAATGGTACCTAGAGACCTGTGGGACCATTATCAGGTCCAAGCAGAATGCATTTCAGGAAATGATTTATGTGAGCTCTGCTTGCACAGGCAGGATAAACATTCTAGAAAAATTGTCCTTATGAAGCCCACTAATCAAAATATCTACCACATTGTATAGTCCCTAGTGCATCCACCATTAGTGTTTTTGAGGTAATAGACCAAAATGAGTACTTGGCTGTTGCAGTTTCTATCTTTAGCTTAGCGTCTAGACTGCCTGAGCTCAAATTCTGACTCTTCCATTTACAAGTTATATGACTTGAACAATTTAGTTAACCTTTCTGTGCCTCACTGTAAAATGAAGATAATAATAGTACTCCCTACACAAGGTTGTTGTGGGTTTTAAATGAATAAATACAAATCCCTTCGAAGAGTGTCTGGCATATAATACATAAAGCAATAATAAATGTGGACTTTCCTGATTCCTTCAGTAGATGCAGTGCTACTCTTCCCTATGAACCTTTATTATTTCTTCTATTTATGGTGGGAATTTATTTGTATGTACCTCTGCTATGGATCCCTGAGAATGAAAGCACTGACTTAATCAGCCTTGTGTATGTAGTGTGAAAACAGAACCTGGCCAAGATAGTGGGTTTAAATCAATAAATAAGCGTCTTAACAAATGAATAAAGTCATCTAAAATTAAAAATTTCTCCATAAGTTTGGGACTAAACTAGACCAAGAAAGGATTCCAAATTCATATTTCAGGTTGTCTGATAGTCCCAAAGCTGGACAGAGGCTAGTTTAGGGATTTCCTGATCCTTGAAATATGCACAGGATGTCAACAATAGAGAAGGACAATGTGGGTTTCTAGAAGGAGTAGAATAAAAGGTCAGAATAAACAGTCTTATAGGAAGGTGTACAACCTCTTGATGTTCTGAAAGATAGGAGGGAGGAAAGGGGCAGAGTGAGGAGATCTCACAGTGGCTTAGAAAGATGATGAGGAAAGAATGGAATGGTGTATTCACTGTGAAGTAGGGATTGTCAGAATTTGAAGAGGAAGAGACAATAAGGAGGAAAGGATAATGTGATCTACAAGTTAGAAGCCTGTGCATGTTAAGAACAAATGCTCAGCTATTTGGAAACACCTCTGAAAGTGGCCAGATTCTTTCATGCATGGCTTGGGTGGTTCACAAACCCTATGACTGTGTGTATCTCATTCCTGAAGTCCTTTGGACACAATCTGTATGCTAGTCCCCCCAAATTTATTTCATGATAAGCAACCACAAAACCTCAGTGGCGTACAGTAAAGGATCTGCATGACTCATTTGATCTATGCTGGGTATCTGCTAATGGTAGATGGCTTTACTCATGTGAGTGTTATTGTCTTCTTGGAATCAGAGGATCTAGCCTGAAGTCAATTGGGCAACTTGTCTTTGCTTCAAGTCTACCATCCTTTCCCAGAACCAACGGGGTAAACTACACATGTCTTCCCTGTAGAGAAGGTACAAGAGGGCAAATGGAAACATGCAAGGGTTTTCACAGCCTAGGCTCAAAGCTAGTATACTGTGACCACAGCTCCACCCTACTGATCAAAGCAAGTCACGTGGAGAAGCCCAGATTTAAGGAGTTGGAAAGCGATTTTTACCTTTTTAATGAAAAAACAGTAGGTCACAAGACAGGGGACATGAATATGAGAAGGAGTGAAGAATTGGGGCGATTAATTCCTTTGACTAAAGCACTAATGATAGTACTCATGCTGCTTCCTTGCAGGTCTGAGTTCCTTCCTTCCATGTTGTAAAATGGATAAGAGAAAGTCACTCTGGGTCATTTGGTGGAACCTACGGAAAACCTGCTACCAAATAGTCAAACACAGTTGGTTTGAGAGCTTCATTATCTTTGTGATTCTGCTGAGCAGTGGGGCACTGGTAAATTATCAGTCTTGTGGAGACATTGGGTATCAGGTCATCCAGGGCCCCTCTCATGGGTCTGTGAATGTGGGAAGACCAGTCAGAAGTGGGGTTTTCACTGGTGGTTCCTTTAGCAGGTAGGGTTTTGCACAACAACTTCTATAGTCGCAATGCAACTATGAAATTCCCATGCCAGAGATACTGTAAGTGATTTCTAGAATCTAGCCCTTGATCTCTACCCCTCATCTCGGAGGATTTCTGGACCTTTTTATTATTCCTTTTATTATACATATTTCCTTTAGATAAGTGTTCCTATCCTCCCTTCTTCTGAAGATCATAGTGCTACTTTCAAAAAGACAAAATATTTGTGGAAGGGGGCTACAGGAACCAGAGTAGGACATAATCAGATGCTCTGATATTTCTTATCACTCACCACCCCTTGAAAGGTAGGAAAGAAGATTCTGCTCTATTTTGATGATCTTTGAACTGTGGTCTGAGTCCCAAGTCCCAGGGAGGTTTAAAAATAACTGTTTACAGAGACATAGTAATAAACTCCTCTTTAACTCACTTATCTTTTCCCTTCCTCTGTCTTTTCTTCCCTTTCCTATCTTTACTCTCTCTTTTTTCTATCTTATGTCTCCCCTTAAGACTGTCGTAATATGGAAATAACCTCCCTTCCTGTTTGTTATGTTAAGTGAACAGACTCCTGGTTTCTCCTTGATTTAGAGACAAATCAACTTCCTCAAACACAAAAGCAAACGTCTCTAGAGCCACCCCAGGGGACTCCCTTAATTAATTTTTATTGATAGTCCTTGGTCAGGGGGTTACCTGTGTCTTCTGGTGACCATGTCCCACTGATGTCTGCCTTTATTCCGGGGCTCTACTCCATACACGCTGCTTGTGCAAGTCAGTGGGAGAGCAGAGGTGCTGTCCAAAGGCATGGACACAGGGGTGTGATCAGAGATGTGGCAGAGGGCACCACGACTGGTCTGATCTTCAGTGAGGCAAGTGTAAGTGGGCAGAGCAGTACTGAACATACAAAGCAGAGGGTGCCAGGAGAGAGACCCAGCCCATGTCATTGTACGTATTTATACAAAAACTGGAATAGCAAAATGAACTGTATTTGGTCTACGGGCCAGCAGCTCAGCCAACCTTAATGCTGAGTCTTGCCCCCACCCCCATTTCCACTGAATCAGAAGACACATTATAGATTTGGGGCTTGTTAGAATTTCACAAGCTTGGTCTGGACAACTACATAATAATGAGAACCTCCTGGATCCAAAAATGGTTTAATCATAAAACAAGAGCCTCCCAAGCTCGGTTGTTGGGCTAGCTCATTCACTGAGCTAACTCAGACTTGCTTAGCCAACCTGTTGCTAAGGTTTCAAAATGAGAGAGAAAATGAGTCTCTAACTCCAGTCACATTTGTCTGTCCTCAAGAGGCAAACAAACAGTGGCCTCACTGAGGTGACTGGGAGAATGAAAAAGATGACCTATGCTTCTGAGTGTTTCCGAAAAGGTTGGGAAGAATTGAAAGGATTAGTAAGGCCAGGAAATGGTGCAGTGATCCACTAGGAAGATCTACCTGGAAGTATTCTAGGGCTAGTGATGGAGACCATGGGATCATAGGGCCGACAGAAATGTACAAATTTTGGTAAGATTTTCCATTTTTTATTTCATTTACTTGAAGAATCAATTCCATTGGAAAATTCTAGATAGCTTTAATACCTTTAGAGCAAAACCTTATCACTAAAAGAAACACTAGTTTTTATTAACATAAGGTAGAAAAACAGAAAGTAAGCAAGGAATTCTTTGCAAATATCCAACCTGGCCTATGGTTATGTTTTATTATTTCAGGTATTTGAAGATATTCACCTTTCTAATTATCGCCACATCCAAAATTTACTAAATTGTACTGACAATATTTTCACGTCTATTTTTGTCCTGGAGATGGCTCTGAAATGGGTGGCCTTTGGATTTAGCAAGTATTTCACCAATGCCTGGTGCTGGCTGGATTTCATCATTGTGGTCGTAAGTTTACCATCTATGTGTCCCAAGCAATTTGGAGCAGGGGGTGAGAAAGGGGATTTTGAGGGAACTGCTTTTCCTGTGTGCCTTTTATGTGTGCCTCTCCAAAATGTTTCTTGTGTCCTTGACTCTTCAGAGAAAGTACAAGTAGTCGCCGTCTGTCTGTCAGCAACCCAGCCTCTCCTGGGCCCCACCTTTGACACACTGCTCTTTCTAAGCACTTTCCTGTGATGGCACTCACACTCTTGTCTCCATAAGCACTCTCACTTAACATACACAGTTGTTCTGAGTTAAGACAGCTACCATATCACGGATGGGGCAACCTGACGCTTAGAGGGCTAGGAACATGTTTCAAGTCACAGGGCAGATCAGTGGTGAAACCGGAATTTCTATCTCCTTCTACCTCCATAACGCTAAAGCTAATGGTAGAAATGGTAGACCATGTTTATTGAAGGGCTTTCTCCATACTAGGAACTGTGCCATATCCTCTGCTTGTGTTCTCTCTTGTACTTACCACAGCCACTCTTATTATTTTCTCCATATTCAGTTTTGTTTGTTTGCTTTGTACGGGGGATTGAACTTGGCACCTTGCACTTGCGAGGCAGGCAGTGGCACCACTGAGCTAAATCCATGGCCCTATTTTCTCCATATTCAAAGGAAGTAAATAAACCACAGAGAGCTAAAGAATGTTCAATAGTGCCCACCTAGAAGTAGTGGAGGTAAGATTCAAAACATAAGTCCCAGAGCTAGATGTGGTGGGTTATGCCTGTAATCCTAGCATTCAGGAGGCTGAGTCAGGGAGATCACTGTTAGTTTGAGGCCAGCGTGGGCTGCATAGTGAGTTCAAGGCCAGCCTGGACTACATAGCAAGACCCTGCCTCAAAACCAAACAAACAGACAAACAAAAACAACCTCCCCCAAAACAAAAATCAAGACCAAAACCTAGTAAGTCTCACCCCAAAGTCTTAAATTTTAATATCTATTTTTTCTACCATGAAATAGTTAGATTTTTGTCCAAGCTAGGAATTAGAAAAATAAGTGCATGAGCATAATTCAGTGGAGTAAACCTTGCCAGGAAAACAAATTGCTAGTGGGCAAAAACAGGCTGTGTGGTTCAGGCACTTTACAAAATCATCAGTACCTGGGGGCTCTAAGAGGACTTGAAGAAGGGAACAGAAACACTATGTTTTTAGTTTCCAGAGTGCAAATAACTTGCCCAATATCTTAAGTTATGATGAAAAGCCTGCAAGTTGGTGAACTAGAAGTCTTGTGAACAGAAGACTGTCATCTCCGTGGTGGAGCTTTGCTTACTGAGTATTACACAAGTCCAACACTTAGTATTATAGTTGAATGGGCCAATAATAGTCCAGGTTCTTGTGTATGATGAGGAAAGCATGCACCCAGTAGTGAGTGGTAAGTAGCTACTTTTACTGAAGATCATGAGAAAGGTAAGAACATCAGGAAAAAGGGGGCAAAGGGCCAATAACTCAGGCTTTCAGAATCTAAAGTGCAGACACCCCAGCTTTTGGTGCCTCCCCCCAAATCCCTCATTGGCACCAATGCATGGCGATCTCTTAGGCTTCTGTTATTTTTGTATCTCTCTTATGATAATGGAAGCAGGAATAACCATAGGGTGCTGTTTCCAGTTAAGGAGAAGGAAGAAAGTGACTCTCTCAGCTCCTTTGTTTCTAACTGTGCTACTAGGAGGCTACATCCTCAAGATAATTGATCAATGCAACCTTGGACAGAACATTTCCCTTCTTTTACATGAGTTCTTTCATTAATAAAAATGAGGATTATGAACTGACTAAATCTACCAAATATAAAATAATAATCTAGCAATAACCCTTAAAATATCAAAACAGCAGTCAAACCACTAAAAGAACCAGCACCAGATGGTTTTCATAGGCAAGTTTTACTACGCTCCCAAAGAGCAGTTAACCCCACTCTTTTTCAAATTGTTACAGAGTAGAAAAGGAGAGAAAACTTACAAACCTAATAATGAGACAAGCATGACCTTGATAACAAAATAAATAGAACAGAAATGATCAAGAAAAGAAAATAATGTTATAATCGTATATGTTTAGAAACCAGGGAAAGCACTCAGTAAGTGTGGTTCACTACTACTGTTGTTAGCCTGAGCAGCATACAAACTAATCTGTGAGTCTCCGTTTGACCACTAATCAACTCCTTGACCTGAAACAAGTCTCATTGTCTGAGTTTCAGGCTTTCTCACCTGTTACATGATAGGTGCTGTAGTATACCGCTTAGCTTGGGACGTTGCTGTGCAGAGTAAGTGAGGGAGTTGCAGGGAGGGTTTGAGACAGGTCTTGCCATGTAGTTCAGAGTGGCCTTGAATTCATGGCAACCATCCTGCCTCAGCCTTCCAAGTGCTGAGATTTCAGGCAGGTGCCACTGTGCCTGGCTAAGTGAGAGACTTTATATGACCAATCCTATAATGTTGCTTGTCAATCAACATTACATGTAATAATTTTTACAATTTTGGAGTAGAAAAATGCAAACACAAACCACATAAAATATGCAAATTCAACTACATCAAAATATAAAACTTTCATTTTCTTATTCAACAATACTGAAATTATAATTAAAGATAAGCGAGAGCCTGAGGTACAGTATTTGTCATGCAGGTAGTAGATCATTATTACTTGTAATATATAAAACTCCCTACAGATCTTCAGGAGAAAGACAAGCCAAAGTAATAATGAAAGAAAAATACAAACAGGCAACTCACAGAAGGAATTTAAGATAATAATAAATGTATATAAAGAAGTACACACTACTGGTACTTTCACTAGTTAGCACAGAAGTACACTGCAAAATCAGAGACCTTTTTCACCCATTCGATGGGCAAATATTTGAAAGTTAATTGATATCTAATATTGAGAAGGATATAGGAAAATGGAATATCTTAATCACTACTAACAATTTACATGGTACAAATTGTGGGAAAAGCTTTGCACTATTAAATAAAATTATAAATGACCCCAATGTATACTCTAGAACTATCACTTTCTTTTCTACATCCAAAGAAAACTCTTAAATATATACCCAGGAAAAACACACATGCTGTCATTCACTGCAGTTCAGAGTAGTAAAGAAACGGAAATTATCAAGAAACTCACCAAGGGAGAACAGATCCAAAAAACTTGATTGTTTATATGTTATAATATTCTACAGCCGTTAAAAGGCATGGACTATAGGAATATGCATGATGGATTTCAGAAGCAATGCAGAATGATAAATGCAAGCTAGGTGCTGCCATCCTTTTCCTAGGCTAGGGACAGTAGGAAGAGTGTTTGTGAGAAACGCCCTGGAATACTCTGTCAACAAGCAGTACTATCGCCAAACGCCTATTTAAAAAATCATGATAAATAAGAACATTTTGTTTGATTTATTTTTTTCTCTTAAATTCTTATACTGGTACATTTTAGGCATTCGATACAGTTGCATTCATCATTGGGAACTTATACCTTTACATGACGTATCTTGGTTTGATAAGAACATTTTAAATTGATTATAAAATTTTTTAATTGTACTATTCTGTCATATTACAAGTATGTTACTACTACACTGAAGCTGACAGGACAAGTGGGGAATGTTCTGGATAGCAGTAAACTTTGACTTTGGCTATTTCAAGGACATCACAATTCACCTTCTGGCCAACTTAGCTACTCCTCTTCCAAGACAAACCTCAGAGACTCCATGACAAATAAGAGATACTGAACATCTGTAGAAAAGAGGTCATTGAGTTCAGCATATTGTTAGGGTTTCATTTAGTGTACTTAGCATAGCTTCTCAACCCTCAGTCCTGTCCCATTAGGAAAAAGTATTTAGGAGTGGAAAATGCATTTTATTTCCCAAAAAGGAGCTATGTAAGTAAGGAGAAACATTAGCAAACAAGTTGTTTTTCTCTTTGTGATTTTTTTTGATATATTTTCAAACTAATTGAAAAGCTGCAAGTAATATTATAAAGAACCCCTCATCTCTCCAGTTTTACCAGTTTCCCATCTGCATATATTCTCATATTTTCTCTCCCTCCATCCCTCCCTCCTCTCCCTCTCTCTCTAAAATTAAATTGCAAGCATCATGTACCTTTACTGCTAAACATTGCAGTCTATATTTTCTAATAAGGGTACTATATCATGTAATTAGAATATAATGATCAAAGTTAGGAAGTTTAGTGCTAATTCTATACTGAAATCTACATCCATTTTTCAATTTTATCAGTTGTCACAACAAGATTCTTTATGATTAATTCTATTGACCCGCCTTTGGTCCCCACCTAAATCCAGGACCCAGTTCAGAATCCCAGTCCATAGATCATTGTCACATCTCTTTGGTTTTCTTCAATTCACATTAGTTTCTTGGGTTTCCTTTTTCCTGGTCTTTCATTATGAAATACAAATGTATTTTATGGACTAGATTTGCCAGACAAGGAGAGCAGTGGCCTCTCCTCTGCCTTCTTCCTCCAGCAGGGTCTGATTTGCTGCTAGACTTGGCCTCTTGAACTCTCTTGGCTTCCCCAGGCACTCACAGGCAGATTCTCTTCCCCCCAGGTCTCATTGGTGGTCAGTTTTGTGGACCTACAGCAATGGAAAGCCTTCCGGACTCTGCGAGCACTGAGGCCTCTTCGAGCCCTGTCTCGATTTGAAGGAATGAAGGTAGTTTCCAAGTGGATGGTTGGAGATTTCCCCTGGCAGAGAAAGGCAGAGAAACTGACTGCTCTTCTAGGATTGGCCTTTCTTCAATTGTTAAGCTTTTCCTAGAGTTCCTCCCACCCAACCCCTTCAGAATCCTAGAGCAGGGATCTCCTAAGTCATCACAGGTTGCTGCTTAGGTATTCTTAGTTACAACTGGAACTGACAGCAGGATTTGCCATGGGGTGGGGGACAAGGCGTAGTGAGTAAAGAGAGAATTTGAGGAAATCCAGCCCTGCACATCAGGCTCATCATGGGATGGTCAAGATTTGGTAAGTCCTACCCATCTGTTATGTTTTTCTTTTGCTTTGTTTCCTTAAGGTGGTGGTTAATGCTCTCATAGGGGCCATACCTGCCATTGTGAATGTTTTGTTTGTCTGCCTCATTTTCTGGCTCATATTTTGTATTCTGGGAGTAAACTTATTTTCTGGAAAGTTCGGAAATGTGGCTAATTACACAATTCTACCAGATGGCAAATGCACTCAAAATTACACCTGGAACCCCCCAAATGTCAACTTTGACCACGTGGGGATGGCTTACCTCGCTCTGCTGCAAGTGGTAAGTGCTGTTGGTATGTTTTTCATTATGAGAAGAGAAAGCTTGCAAAAGTCTTAAATAATTTTTCAGGTCATAAAACACAGTGACTCCATTAAGATAATAGAATCAGATCCTCATGTGGGAGCCAGTGCCTTCTGAAACTGTTCCTCACTGAGCATTCCAACTCTGGACCACTGAGCCCCAAATCCTGAGTGATGCCCTTTACAGATGTGCACATCTCCTCTATCTTCTGTGGTATTTTGCATGCTCCCTTGAGCTCCAGCCAGACAGGAGCAGAGGCTCAGGTACAGGTCATTGTGAACAATTCCCCATTCAGATGACAGTAGCTGGGTCTTGGACCGGTTTTGCAGACTGAGGTGGCATCAGGAAAGAATCTGGTCTTTCCTGTGATTGGGGCTCAGATTCTCTAGCAATCTTCCAGGTTTGTTTTTGTTTTTTTAAACTTTTTGTCTCATGCAAATGAAGAGGGAAAAATAATCCAAGGTGCTGCGATTGTTTTGTTTTCATTTTATGGTACTAAAGGTTGGACCCAGGGCCTTCACCCTGGAGCTATATTCCCAGCCATTTTTACTTTTTTTATTTGTGAAGCAAGGGGTAGACAACTCAGTAAATTTGAGGTTGGTCTCAAACTCTTGATCTTTTTGCTTCCACCTTGTGAAAAGCTGGGACTGCAGATGTGCACTACCACATCTGACTCTATGTTCTTTTATGTGGGTATTCCATCCAGGCACGATGGGAACCATCTTACTGACATTTGCCCACTCTGCCTGGCAACCTTTGCATAGTGTGTGCTCATCATTGGTAAGACTACAGTCGAGGCCGTGTTTCTCTGCTTCTGTTGCAGGCAACATATAAAGGCTGGATGGAAATTATGTATGCAGCTGTGGATTCCACGAAAGTGAGTCTATGTTACACCGTGTTCTAGAATGTTAGATTCAAATCAGAGATATTGTGAGTACATGGGCAATCCAAAACTTTCCTGTACTATAGTTCTAGCAGCCAAGGTTCTCTGCTTTGTTTTCTTTGGGAAAAAATTATGAAATGCCACCGCTTCGTAAACAGTGCTCCAATACATTCTCTGGTGAAAATCTGACACCCCATAGTTTTTAAGCCCAGTGTTCTTTCTCTGTGATGAATGAGGAAGAAACATTCATGTGAGCGGTAGAGCCAGAAGCAACAGAATAACAGGAGGGTTGAGGTTTCTTCTCATCTCTTCCAAGTGGATGGACAGGAAAGAAAGCAAATTTCAGAGCCCACCTGTTTTAGACTGTGAGAAATCCTTAGTATTGAGCTAAGTCTGAGCGAGAGAGACCCTCCTATGGCTCCAGTTTCCCTGGAGACTAGAGGGGATTCTGGTGATTGCCAACTCTCAGTTTCAGTTAGTGAAAAAATAATCATGGGTTCCAGAAGTTTGAAGAATATTCCACAATCGATTCTGTTTTCTGTTTTCTTTTTCCCAGCTGGGAAAATTGAGGGTTAGAAAGGAAGAGAGCTGCCCAGAGCCATAGAATGTGCCAGTGGTGGGTACTGAATGACAGACATCACAGAAAAATCCCACAGATGACAGAGCTATCAACACTCACAGATCTATTTTTAAAAAGTGATCAGGAGAGAGAGAGAGAGAAAAAAAAAGGAAAATCATCTCACTAGCTGTCCCCAAAAGCATAAAGCCGATGGCAGTATGTGCACACTATTCATTCACCTAAGGCTCACATCCAGAATATATAAGGAACGCAAACAACTTGGGAACAAAAAAAAAAGAGTCCAGCTTTAAAATGAGCAAATGACCTGAATAGACATTTCTCAAATAGGGTATGAAAATGACCGACAAATATACGAAAAAATACTCGACATTATGAATCATCAGAGAAATGCAGATCAAAACCACACAGATACATCACCTTACCCAGGTTAGAATAGCTATTATCAAAACAAATACCAGATGCTGGGAGGACACGAAGAAAAGGCAAGTCTTGTACACTGGCAGTGAGAATGTAAACTGGTATAACCACTATGAAAAACAGCGTGGAGATTACTCAAAAAAGCAGTAGTGTAACTACCATATGGCCCATATGGGTATATACATCCAAAGAAGTTGAAATTGGTACTTTGAAGATTCATCTGCATTTGCATGTTTTTTTGCAGCACTATTCACAGTGGCCAAGATATGAACTTAATCTGAGTGTCTACCAGTGGATAAAGAATATGTGGTAAACATACACAAGGGGATAGTATTCAGTCATTAAAAAAATAATGATATTTTGTCATTTTCAACATGAATGACATGTTACTCAACATTATATGCAATGAAATAAGTCAGGCACGAAAAGGCAAATATTTCATGTTCTCATTTAAATGCAGAAGCTGTGGTCTCATAGAGGTAGAGAACAGAAGAGTGGTTATCAGAACCCTGGACAGAAGGGTGGAGAGAAAATGGTTAATGTACCGAAATGAAATTGGGTAAGAAGAATAGCTTCTGATGTTCTATTGCACAGCAGAATAACTATGGTTGACAACCATTAATTATTTCAAAATAGCTAGTAGAGAAGATTTTGAAAGTTCTCCACAAAGAATAAATGATCAATGTCTGAGCCTATGGGTATACTAATGCTGATTTATATATGTCGCACCACACTCCCATAAACATGGGTTACTATGTGGGAATTAGAAATAAAAAATATCTATTCAAGAACATAAAGAACTGGGATGAAAGGAGTCTCAGATACTTCGGGCAAATACCAACCTGAGGGACTTGGTTGGAGTTAATGTGTGTCTACTCCAAAGCCTGATTGTCATGCTGCTCAACACTAGGAATTCAAGAGTGAAAGGGCAAAACCACAGATAGAGCGATGCACAGGACCGCGGTGTTGATATGAAGGATGTATTCAGTCAGTGTTTGGTAGACCTGTCCCTCTGCACCCCTTCTCTGGCAACCTTGCCTTCACTAGGGTTACTTCTGATGTATATCCATACAGACACACAGGGAATTCTTTTTTCAATTTTAAAAACTACTATTGTAACTATGAACGCATATTATAGTAATTATATTAATTGCACACATGAGGTACAGTGGGGTTCACGGTGACATTTTAGTACCAGTATAACTGAACCTTATTCATGCCTCTCCCCTCTTCTGCCTTTGTTTCCTCTGCTGTCCCTTCTTCCATGGTCCCCTACCCAGACTCTTAATACCATTTTCTACCTTTAGGTCATCTTTGTTTTGGTGGTTGTTTTATTTTGATAGTTTACACAAATGAGGGAAAATGTGTTATACTTGTCTTTTGTTTTTGTTTTTGTTTTTTTGAGTCAGGGTCTCACTTATGTAGTGAGACTAACCTGGAACTCACTGTGTAGCCCAGGCTGGTTTTGAACTCACAGTGATCCTCCTGCTTCAGCCTTCTGAGTGCTGGGATTACAGGCGTGGGCCACCAAACCTGGCTATACTTGTCTTTTGATGTCTGGCTTATTTCGTTTAAAATGAGGTCTTCCACTTTCATTCATTTTCCTGCAAATAATGGGATTTAACTCTTCCTTATTACTGAATAGTCCTCCGCTGGGTATAAATACCATATTTTCTTTATCCATTCATTTGTTGATAGGTACTTAGGCTGATTTTCATACCTTGGCTATTGTGAATACTGTCTTGATAAATATGGTTATGCAAGTACCCCTCTGTTGCATGCTGGCTTCATTTCCTTCAGATATATATCAAGGAATGTGAGAGCTAGATCATATGGTAGTTCTATTTTTAGTTTTCTAAAGAACACTGTTTTCCATCATGGCTGTACTAATGTTCATTCCACCAACAGTGCGTGAGTGTTCACTCAGGAGATTTGCAAAAGAGAAATGTGATCATGTCACTCCTCCCACTTAAAATCTCTTAAATGGATCTCCATTGCTTAGAAGCAAAATCCATGCCTCCAGCCACCCAACTCCCCACCATGAGTACCACTCAAATTATGTGAGGGGAACAAAAGAGCTCCCCATAGCAACTGTGGCTGTCAACAGGAGGTAACGTTAGGGTTGCTGCCAAGAGACAGTTTTGTTTTCTACGTGAAGCAGTTAGGATGGATTCATTTCTCTTCACTAAGTGTTTTTTCTTATTAAAAAATCCCCAACAGGACGGACCACCACAATTTGAGGCACATGTAGTCATGTATGTTTACTTCATAGCTTTTATCATCTTTGGCTCATTCTTTACACTGAATCTCTTCATTGGCGTTATTATTGACAACTTCAATCAACAGCAAAAAAAGATAAGTATGCCAGTTGTGCTGATTTAGGGATCTCCCCTGTCTTCTACAAAGGGCTTTACTGGAACGTAGTTCAGATGTAAGCTCCTGGGAAGAGTGGTATCTCTTGCCATCTGCACAAGAACAGAAAGGGGCTTCTGCTCAGAGAAGACTCTCAGGAATAAGGTTGAACGGGAACCGGAAATCTAAGTTTTGTTAAGTCGTTGCCTTCACTGTCTTAACGGATATTATTGGGAGGATGAAACCTGGTCATAATTGGATCCTAAGAGAATAATAGCTTCCAAGATTGGCATTTATGACACTATACTCATATTTTAATAGCATTTCAAGTGTACCTTGTTATCCATGATAAAAAGAAGGGGCATTATTTTCTCTGCAAACTTGTGTCCTGCCCCACAATACAAGCCTACTTGAAGCTACGTAGAAAGAAGATGGCCAGGGTAGAGGTACAGCTAAGAAGGGTTACTCCAGGCATTATAATACTCAGATGTTGTTTCTCTGGTTCTGAAATCTACAAGAGCTTTGTACTATGTAAAATTGTTTGTTTGAGACAGGGTCTCACTATGTGGTTGAGACTGACCTGGAAATCACTATGTAGCCCAGGCTGGTCTCAAACTCGCAGGGAACCTCCTGCCTCAGCCTCCCAAGTGCTGGGATTACAGGTGTGCACTGCCACGCCTGGCTGTACTATGTAAAATTAAGGGAGATCACCTTACGATAATCACCAAATAATACCCACTTTAGACAATGCCTTTTATCATTTTGGCACCCCACACCTCCCAGTTACCTTCTAACTGAGCATGTATATAAATATGTGGGATTCCTTTATATTTTGAATTTTTGATAGAAAAATTAATTGCTTTTTATTTATTTTCTGTTTTAATTAGTACATGTTTGCAGTACACAGTGATCGTGTTCATCACGAAGAGTCTGTACATGTACATAACACATCTTAATTCTTTTTTTTAGGTCTTCCTTCCCTCCTGCCTCCCTCCAAATGTCTCTCCCCTTCCCATTTGTGTGGTGTTCTTTTGCTGTTGTTCATTGCACCATGATCTGATAATATGCATGGGATGATTTTCATCTCTTTGCATTTACTTAAGCGTATTCTATGGGCTAGTGTGTGATCTATTTTGGAGAAAGTTCCATGTGCTGTTGAATGTGTATTCTGTTAGGTGAAAAACTCTGTAGTTATCTATTAAGTCCATTTGTTGAAAGGTTTGGTTCAACTCTGGTATTTCTTTGTTGGATTTTTCTCTAGTTGATCTCTCTATTTGTGGCAGTGGGGTATTGAGGTTCCCCTTTACAACTATATTGTAGTTGGTGCTTATCTGATTTTTTTCATGTCTATTATTGTTTTATGAAGTTGAGTGTGCCAGTAGTTATGCTTACATATTTATGATTGTTATTCTTTTGTGTTGAATTGTTCCCTTAACCTTCTTTGTCTCTTCTGCTCAGTCTTGTCTTGAAATATACTTTGTCTGCAATTGAAATAGCAATGCTACTTTTTTCTGGGTTTCTATTGCATGGAATATTTTTCCTAACCTTTGACTTTCAGTCTATGAATTTTTAGGTTAAGTTTTTGGGTTTGTTTCTTGTATGCAGCATATTCTTAGATCTTGTTTCACAATCTATTCTGCTGAACTGTCTTTTGATTAGTGAATTGAGACCATTCACATTGAAGGTTATAACTGATAGTTATTGACTAACCCTTTTCATTACATTATTTTCCTGCCATTGGTTCCTTTTATTCCATTCTATTTAATTGAATTTTTGTATGTTTTGTATCTACCTGTCCCCCCCTCAATCTTCATGAAGTCATAGATGGGGCCTTTCAGAGTTGGCTGGATCTAGGGCATGTGATACTGGGATTAAGGGTGATTAACTGGAATCACCTAACTGGATTCCACTAACTGGAATTAACATAGTTCTGGTAGCACCACCCAAAAGGCTGATGGTCTGAATGAAATAAAAGGGAAAGGCAGGCTGGCTGCTGCTGCTTGCTGCTCATTACCTTCTGCCTACAGTGTCATGAACTGTTTCTTCTCTGTGATGCCCCTCTACTGTGTTGCCCTGCCTTGGAGCCAACTGACTGTGTACTGAAACCTCTACAAACTGTGATCTGAAATGCACCTCTCCTCCTTTCACTTGTTGGTGTTGGGTATTTTGTCCCAACAAGGAGAAAAATAATTAAGATGCTTGCCTGGCCTAGTAAATTCATTCTGTTGGGCCTTTTGGCATTGTTGTCTCTATTGTCTCTGTAGAATGTCCTTGAGAATTTTTGGGAGCGCTGATTTGGTGTTCATGAATTTGTTTAGTTGCTTTCTATCATGGAAGTATCTTATTTCTCCATCAATTCTGAAAGATAGTTTTGTGGGATACATCAGTCTGGGTTGGAAGTTGTTTACTTTTCAGGCTTGAAACATTTCACTCCAGGCTCTACTTGGCTTTAGGGTTTGTATTGAGAAGTCTGCTGTAATTCTGATGGGTTTTCCTTTATAATTAATTTGTTCCTTTTCTCTAACAGCTTTTAAATTCTGCTCTTTTGTTACATTTCTGGAACCTTGAGTATTATGTGTGGTGAGGTGGTTCTTTTCTGGTCATGGCTATTCAGGGTTCTACATGCCTCACTTATGTGTATGTTAAATTCTTTTTCCTTATCTGGAAAGGTATTTTTTTTTCTCTTACTTTTGTAGTCAGTTATTTTTATGCTCTTTGTGCTGTCTTCTGATTTTTTCATTACTTCCAATTAATCTTAGATTAGTCTCCTTTGCATGATCTAGCAGCTGCTGGATCCATTTTTCAAGTTCCCTTGTTATTTTTAGTGTCTCTCATTAGTTGATCCCAGCCACAGCCCTGTCTTCTAGGTCTCACATTGGTCAAGCCTGTACTTTCAATAAGGTTTGTTTTGTTTTGTTTTCTTTGTCTGGTACCAGGGATCAAACTCTCAATAAGGTTTTTAATCTAGATTTCTGTTTGAAACTTTTTTATGAACTCCAATTCTTATCTATGCTGGACATTCATGACTTGCATCTTTTTTTAAAGCTCTTCTAGTTTTTTTAATTGTTATCTTCTCTTGATTTACTGATCATTTATTTTATTAGGATTATCATTTTATTAATTATCTCTTTGAATTCATCAAATGTCTTATCGATCTGTTTGTTACCTCCACTGCTATCATTTCAGACATTTCAGCTGTGTGTTTTTTTTATTTTTTTACCCTATCTATGCCCTGTGGATTTGCTTTGGAGGAATTGAGAGCTTCTAGAGCATTTTGCTTCCCTGTTTTCTTTTTGGTTTGTTTGTTTTCTGTGCTGAGGCTTGCAAATTGCTTATGGTGGATAGCTTTATTGTTGGTCTCAAGATCTCTTTTGCTAATGTCTACTTTTCAGAGTTGTCTTTCATGTTTAGCTAGCTATTGGCCTTTGGGTCTGTTCCAGGATCAAACCACTTCTGTTTATTAGGGAAAAGAGGTTTCAGCCTATTTGGCCCCGGTACCCAGTTCTTTGGTAAAAGACTGCTGTATTGTTTATCATCCCAGACAATCTAGATATTAATATACGGAGAAAACCAGTTGATAGCAGCAACTATGTCACCTTTGTTAAACTAGTAAAATAGAAACAGTAGCATCAAATACAAACTGGATAATGACAAACTCTAATAACCAATATCACCTTTAACCATAGAAACAAGATCTTTAGTTATAGTACAAACTCTAAGACAAACCAGATATTGAAATGCAGTAAATAATTACTCAATAGAACAATTTAACCTCTGTTAACATAGAGCAGTATTCAACTATAATAAGCTACAGTTAACCATCTATAGATGTTGTTAATGGTTACACTAATAAGGATAGTGGTACCAGAATGGGAGCATGAAAAATATAGAATTTGAAAAATTAATTAATGGAAGATGGGAAGAAAGAGGTAAAATTGAAATAAAAGCTCCTATTAAGGATTAAAAGAAAATTAGTATTAGACAACAGTAACAGAAAAACAACTAGGAAAAGGATAAATAATAAGGAATAGAGATTAACCTAGAGTAAAACAAAAAAGAAAAACAACTAAGGAAACAAATTGAAAGAGAGATAGCGGGAAAAGAAGGAAGAGAGAGAAGAAAAAAAGAAACTAATCAAGCCATAAAACAAACTAATATTTAGAAAGGGGGAACAAGAAAATTGGTGATAAAATTGCAAGCTCTACCAAATAAAATTAAAATTTAAAATATCAATAGAGAAGAAAAACAAGCAAACGGTCAAAAGAAGGGAGAAAAATCCCTACCTAGTTCCAAAACAGTGTTTTTCTTCTAGAATTTAGTCTTTAATTCACCAAGTCACAAGTCTCTCTACCCCTCTTTATAGCCTGTGGGCCTGTGTGGTGACCCTTCTGTTTGAGGGGTCCCCCAACTATAATCCTCTGTCTGGCAATTGCCCAAGCCAGGACACAGGCCCAGGGAAGGGGTGGGACCTTGGGTTCTGGGTGAAGACTCCAGCAGTCGTGAGGCATCTGGCACAGAGTCAGCTGGTTGGGGACCAACATTGAATACCTGATGGATATTCCTGTGTCCATGGGACCCACCCAAAACACAAGACAGAGGCTCTTGCCATCCCAGGGCACTGTGTGGAGACTCAGGTGTGCCTGGGGCTGACTCGAGAAGATTCCTGTGGGCCCAAGGAGGGTGCTGGCCACTGGGTGGAGTCTCATGTGACCCTGGGGCACCAGGCAAGTCAGGTGGACCTTTACCTAGTGCTGAGTATGAGGCAGAGCTCCAGTGGATGTGGGATTGGGTGGGGCCTCCTGCATGCCCAGATTGCCAGGTGAAGACTCAAGAGACTGGGGCCTCCCATGGACACCCAGGTTGCCCAGGACTGGTGCTGGATATCAGATAGTCTCTGGTGGTTCTGGGGATGGCATCAGGACAGTGAGCACTGGGTGAAGATTCATATGATCTTGGGTACTTGGCAAAGACCAATGCTAGCTCTGTTTGCCACATGGAGGTCC